ACACAAATCTGGCTTTATTTAGCTAATGACCCAATGGATGCAGCAGCAAAGCAGGATTCTGGTATCTAATTTGTAGCTGTTCTAATATCTGTTGCCTATTGAAAAGTCTGGTGTCTTGTGGTGGGAACACCCACAGAGCCGAGAGAGTGGACAATAATTCAGTCTCTTTAAGAAAACAAGTCTTCCCCAGGCAAGAGACACCCATCAACAAGAGGAGCCATTCAGCTCTCAGGGCAGCATTCAGAATGCATTTATAAAGTAAGCACTCCAGGGTTTGTTTCTGAAAGGGGTGGGCGGGTGTTTCACTAGACTTGGGCAGTTCTTTCTAGCTCACAGTGCACTGAGAGAAACTTGCCAGCAAATCACTAACTCCCAGTATGACATACCTCCAAAATCCCAAAGGAAATTATTTTTTTTTTTTTTAGCAATCATTGACTAGGATCACTTGGATTATAATAAACTGAAGAGACATTGAGATGGAAACATACTGGTGTCCCCACTATATCCACTTCAAAAATGGCTTGTAGAAAGTTCCAATTACAAAGATGAGTTTTGTTGTCTTAGGCCACAGGCTGGGTTCTCACTATCCACAGTATTTCCTGCTGTGACCTCTGAGGCCCTGTCATGTCAGGGTGTGAGCAGAAGGAAGTCTACAGAGCAGCAGGACAGCTTCCCAAAGCGGCTGATGCCAGGGAAGGCAGAACCACAGGTTAGTGACGAGCATCTGTCCATTGGTCATGGGATGAGCCATCCTCTGGGTAAACACCTTCCCAACCACCATGCCTTCCTACACAGACCCAGGCATAACCATTTGTGGTTCATGAGCTGAACTTGTGCAGTAGTCTTTAATGGAGACCGAGATGATACGAACTCAACACCCGTGTGTTCCAAGAATTGAAAACTTGTTTTCCCAGAAGACGTAGATCCCAGAAGATGTATATATACCAAGCTCAGGAGCTAAGTCCAAGCGTGGGAGCTTTATAGTTCAAGGATCAGGTATGTAGGTCCTATGTGCACAAGGCAACAGCCCAGGCGTCGGCTGCACTGTAGATTCGAGGGGCGGGGCACCTCAGATCTCACAAGTTTAGAAGGAACCCATGGGTAGCTGAGCATCCATTCCATCTGTGCAGCCTTCACCTCAACCCGACAGGCTCAACCAAAATGCATCTCCTGGCTCTCACACCTGTAACGTTTAGCATAACCAACTGAAGAGGCAGGAAACATCCAGTTACTTATGGCAGGTTGGGTTTCAGTTTCAGCCTTATTACAGTGTGATTGCTTTATTTTATTTTCTCATCTATGTGGTGAGTAAAGTCCATTTGCCTTCAAAAATGAAGGTCAGCATGAACTAGGATGAGGCACAAAACCCCAGGCCTAACTCTGACAATGACTGCCATAAACCATAATTGCTCCAAGAAGTTTAAAATTAGATGGAACACTGAGTGTTCAGGTGATACTGGACTAACAGTTGGATCATTTGGAGCCTTTTTCCTAGAGAAAAAAACCTCTGTATTGCTGCTACCTGCTATATTATAAATGCACACAGCGGACTGAGTGCATCAGGCAGTGCAGGAACAGTCCAATAACCTAGTGGCTTTTTTTTTTTTTTTAAAGATTTATTTTTATTATTTTTTCATTGGAAAGGCGGATATACAGAGAGGAGATACAGAGAGGAAGATCTTCCATCCGATGATTCACTCCCCAAGTGAGCCGCAACGGGTCGATACTATGCCGATCCGAAGCCAGGAGCCTCTTCCGGGTCTCCCACGCGGGTGCAGGGTCCCAAAGCTTTGGGCCGTCCTCAACTGCCTTCCCAGGCCACAGGCAGGGAGCTGGAAGGGAAGCGGGGCTGCCGGGATTAGAACCGGCGCCCCTATGGGATCCCGGGCGTGCAAGGCAAGGACTTAACCACTTGCGCCACCGCGCCGGGCCCACCTAGTGGCTTTCATTCTGGAGAACTTGAAAAAAAATCCCAGCTCTGATTCCAGGAGGTTTTGGTTTAATTGGTTAGGACTGACTGAGGTTCAGGCCTTGCTTATTTTTTCTAAAGATTTATTTATTTTTATTGGAAAGTCAGATATGCAGAGGAGGAGAGGCAGAGAAAGATATTCCATCCACTGATTCACTCCCCAAGTGGCTGCAACAGCCAGAGCTAAGCTGATGCAAAGCCAAGAACTTGGAGTTTCTTCCGGGTCTCCCACTTGAGAGCACAGTCCCAAGGCTTTGGGCCGTCCTCGACTGCTTTTCCAGGCCACAAGCAGGGAGCTTGATGGGAGGCAGGGTTGCCAGATTAGAACCGGCGCCCACCTGGGATTCCAGCACATGTAAGGTGAGGACTTTGGCCACTAGGTTATTGCACAAGGTCAGCTCATGAACCACAAATGGGCCCTCCTTGCTTATTTTCAAAGTTCCCTCACTTTTAATGTGCAATCAGCTCTAAAAATCACCTCCCTTGCTGGGATGTGTTGTGTTTTCTTTAAGAATCTGTTGCGTGTTTATTTTATTGGTAAACACATACTGAACTTCTTGAAGCCCAGGATCAAGAAAGTTCCCAGTCACAACCTCAAGGATTCTGGAGTCCAACAGAAGAGACAGATGGGCAGATGGTGGCTATACCATGGACGCATGGATGCATGATGGGCTGCACGCTGCAACCACAGGTGGAACCTTAGGATAGGTCCAAGCTTGCTCTCTGGAAACAGTACCCTGCCAGAGAGGCTGCTCCAGACCAAGGCAACAGGTTGTCGTCAACTTAGGAGGAGGAAATACACAGAATGTTCCAGAAACTGCAAGGAATTCAGTGGGACTGGACATTAGCATAAGACCAACAGGTGAGACAGCTGGAATTTAAACAGGGGTTACACTATTATGGTCATTGGGTAGAGGAGATACCAGAGAGGGGCAAGACTGGACATGAAGGAGTCGATACTTCCAAGCTGCCAACAATGAAGTTTAACCAGGGACAGTTTTGATAGGTGTTAGCCCTAGACAAATTTGGTGAGTTGGGGGCCTCTTGGGGAAGGACTAGGAGTCATGGAAGAGGTCCAACTTCTGGGTCTGGGGTCACTCAAGGGGATCAGTGAAGCCAGGCCCAGAGCAAGAGATGGAGCAGAACAAGGCTATGAACATGGGGCAGTAGCAGGGCTCACAGGCCTTCAGAGAAGTTCATTCTTGCTTTGTCACAAGACTGTAACTTAGGCTCGTCACACCAAATAGAAATCCTAACATTTCTGTGTTTTTCTGGTCACGCACTTTGATAACAATGGGAAGCTCTGATGCATTTTATGGGATGTTATTAGATGGGAAAAGGAAGTGATAATTTAAAGAAAGGAGCACAGTGTGGTGTGTGCTGGAAGGGAAGCAAAGCAGGGTTCAGCTTGAGAATCTGGCCCAGAGGCTCTGTGCTGTCTGCCTCATCTCTGGAGCCTGCCAGGATTAGGTACCTGAAATTACCTGAAATAAAAATCCAGGTATGGGTGCCGCATGCCCTCGTTGGTGAAGAACTGACAACACAGCATTACCCCATGTGTGAGGCACATGTGCAAACTGATCTGTAAGCAGCTCCATTTATTTGAGTAAGTAGCTTGTAAATAAATCATTGGTAAACATTACAAAATTAAATACATTTTCAAAAGCTTGCCAGTATACGGAAAATTCACAAACATAGTTCTTGTAAAAAATAAAATATGTTCAGAGCACCCTTGATAGAAATTGCCTGACCTCTGTCTTCTGACAGGGGCTGCCTAGGGATGACTCCCAGCCCGTAGGGATTCCAGGGGGAGATAGGAGGGGCCTCCTGCAGGAACCCTTTCTTCACTGCCATTTGACCCCACTCATATCCAGTGTGAATTAACTCTGAGCTGGGCTCAGAACACAGGGACGGGAGTGCAGAGTTCCAGGCCAGAACACCTCCATAGCTCCCACCATAAGACAATGAGAGAAGCCGGAAAACCAAGCTCCATGCTTCCAGACCAGATAACACTGCCGTGTCATTCACTTGTCATCTTGACCCTTGTCTAGTGCTGTTCTCATTGTAGTCCAGTGCCAGCCAGGCACTGAAGGGACCAGATTATTTCTATGGAGGAACACGCTCCCTTTGCTAACCTCCTTTCCACCTGCTTTGATGGAGACAGAACGATAGCCAGTGTTTCACTGAAAGCAGAGAATTCACTGCTGCCCTATGCTGTTCCACTCGAATGGGCATTTCTCTAGAAATCCAGTTAGTTCTTCAAATGAAGGGTTCACAAAACTTGAAAAGATCACAAACGGGGCAAGAAAGCACACGACCTGGCAAAGCATCCCACACTGTGAAATACTACAAAGTCCATAAATTAAGCCCTTCACCCACTCAACATGGTTGTAGTGTAGCGTGTTAGAATAACGGAGACACCGAATTCTTTCGCTTTGGTGCAGAAAGTGAACGTCAGAGGCCAGCAGCACTGACATGAAGAACTGCCCGGTGGCCTCTTGGAAACCAATGTGCTGTGACCTCCCACTAAGGGAAGACAACAAGTTTATTCCGTCATTGCGAAATAAAGCTCACATCCGCATTTTAACTTACTGGTGTGTAGCTATGTACAAGTATGAGAAATCCAATGTGTGAGTCAAACATACAACTTAAGAAAAAGGGGATTACCAAACTAGCGGTAAGAAAAAACATCTTCTCTGTAAAGTCCTCACATCTGAGTTCTTGCAGAAAACACCATCTGGCCCAGCCCACATTTGAAGGTCCACCTGCTTTGACAATCCTTGGCTGGGCCACAGGTCAGAGTCATGATATCTTGGCTATTGAAATATTACACTATCCAAAACCTTTAAAAACAACAGCAAAGAAAAACAGAACGCTCTTGCATATATGTCTAGAAGATTCCCCCACACACCAAAAACATAAACAAACACAGCTTGTTCAGAAGGACAACTATTCTTTAACAAAAGTCTTCATGGAGTCTACATCCCAGGACCCTGTCTTTGTCTCCAGAGAACTCCGCTCGGCTCCGGAATCATATGCTCTTCTTCTGTGGGGGACTCAGTTTCCTCATGCCTCTTATCCGAGACAGCAGCTCTTTGATAAATTCCTAAAATAGAGCAGAAAAAGTTAAAATGAGAGATCATGCTATTAAAATGTGTGTTTAAAAAGCTGCGTAAAGTAATTAATGCCAACGGTGCAGGAGTTTCACTGGCCAATCGGGTTGGATGTTTTCACCAGGAACTGTTTCAACAAGCAAAGCCTGCTGTGGTCTCCAGGAGCTTGCAGAGAGTCACTGGTGCGGATGACACCAAAGGTCTCCACACTTTTTAACTGCAGATCACAGGTGCAGCAAGGACATGTCTCATGTTCAAATTCAATACCTACACACATGGGCAAACATGCATACACCCCCCTGAAATTAAGATTTTTTTAAAACAATACTAATGACATGGATTTTTTCTGATCTCTTCTGACTCTTACCCTACTTATTAACCATCATTGGAGGAGACACATTATAATGATTTCATGACCTGTGAATGACCAGAACCCAAAGACTGAAAGTGATCTAGAATGGTTTTTACCGAACAGCAACAAGAATCTGTCCTTGTTGCTTCGTGTTTGAAAATGCATTGCTGCCAAATAAGTCACCTCTTTTGATTTGATATTTGTCAAAGACAAGGCTGATAGCTGGCCTGGTGTCCTGATGTGGCAACAGTGGAGGAGAGATCTGTGCCCAACAGGGACCACCTGAGAGCAAATCCACTAGGGAATCACCGCGTCTGTCACGGCGATCTGCAAAGCCACCCTTAGCCCATCCCTTTGTTCTAATCCCTGCTCTCCATAAGAGCTGCCAGACCAGATGAGCCCTATGCAACTATGCTGCTTTAAAACACAGCAGCTTTAAAATACCATATTTTCATGATAATTTTTAAATAATCTTTTTTGTTGCAATAGAAGTCCACATGCTTTTATTTTCTAGAAAGGTTGGAAAAATACAAACCAGGAGCAGTGTGTTCTTCAGAATTAATTACTATTAACATTTTATTCTATAGGCATTGTTTTTACTTAATTAAGGCCATACTGTAAAAACATATTCTTTCTTCCCCCACATAGTGTTATGCCAGAAGCTTTTTCCCACAACATTAAACAGCCTTCCTAAAAATGAATGCGGATGGTTGCACGTTCTTGTATTATATGGGTGTTGCACATTCTGCTTAACTCCCCATCCCTGGATCTCTGTAGGGTTCCTGCCTGGCTTTCCAGTACTACACACAATGATGCTGTAACTAGCATTTCCAGCCACAGGTTGCATTATTCACTTTACCAAGCTGGCCCACAAGTAGATCAAAGGACACACACGTTGTAATCATCACCACTTCCAAATTCAGACAGAATGAAATGCAAGTAAAATAGAAGCCAGACCTTATTTTAATGTTCCGAACACTATCTAACTCATCTAAAGAACTTCCTTGGGCGCAAACAGTATTATATCTCCGCACCTATATTCAACGTTCACCTAAAAAAGTTAAATGTATTTTGTTGTGTCTCCTTTGCTATGTGGTATGACTAGCGTTCTGAACACCAGGTCGGTTTATATTAAAATTCAAACTTCCTTAAAAATGAATGTGAATGGTTTTCAGCTTTACTACTTTCAGGATCTGTTATCCAACTGATGACTGTATGGCATTTCAGCAGTTGGGTGTGAATTCTTTCCCCTTTCTCTAGAAGCAGAAGCGATCATCACAAATTCTGAAATTTATTTTATTAACTCTGTTGATTTTTCCACACTATTTTAATGATATTTTCTACAAAGTAAATGCTAAAATCACATAAAGCATAATGTGTCCTAAACTACATGGCACATTATATCCTAAGCCATAACTAACTTGATCATTTAAATGGAATGAATGTCTTTCTAATGATCATGAAAGCTTAGTATATGCATCAATCTCTTAGAGAAGCAGATATCTGCGCATCAGTTAAGACAGTGCTCGACAACTGATGAGGGCCAATGTGTTGGCTCAATAAGCTAATCTTCCATCTTGCAGTGTCAGTATCCCAGATGAGTACCAGTTCTAGACCTAGCTCTTTCACTTCTGGCTCAGCTCCTTGCTTGTGGTCTAGGAAAGCAGCAGAGAAAACCCAAGTCCTCGGAACTATGCGCCCATGGGAGAGCCCTGGAAGAAGCTCCTGGTTCCTGGTTTGAGATGAGCTCAGCTCTGGCTGCAGTGAACCAGCAAATGAGAGATTCTCTTTGTTTTTCCTTCTTTGTGTAAATCTGCATTTCAAATAATAAATAAATACATAAATATCTTTTAAAAAAGATGGTATTTGAGACATCCACATTCCCATATACTAATGCTTGAGTTTAAGTTGTCATTTAAAATGTATGCCTCTAATGTGGACTAACGTCCTTGACATGGGAGTGAGTTAATGGTCCTGATTGGGCTACTACAGAAGTGAGGTCGGCCTCTCTCACTTTGGACGATTTTGTGCGCTCACTTCCCCTCTGTGATGTAAGGACACAACGTGGAGACCCTCACCAGATGCAGGCACACTGCTGTGGGCTTTGCAGCCTCCAGCATCAGAAGCAATACATTTCCACTCTTTACAGGAGACCCAGTCTGAGTCTCAGGTCACGTCTTTTTACAGCAGCACCAAAAAGGCTAGGGCCATCAAAACAAATTGAAATCAAGAACACGCAGCTTTGACTGCACTTAAAAAGTAAGTGTGGCTCATCTCCCTACAACTGCCACTCACCTCCCCCAGCTATGCGCCAGAGTTGGACAGTGAAGGCAGAGGAGGAGTGTGTTACTTGACCTTCAGGAGCCATCACAGGCCCTGCAAACCCTTATCCTTTGGGCATGTCAGCTGGCCAGGTCAGCAGCAGAGGCTGCACTCTGCTGAGAACACCACACGAGCCACCATCTGTCCCACCCGGTTGAGGGCCCAGTCCCTTCAGCCTCCCCCTTACCACAGCCCCTGTTTGGCCCTTCTCCGCAGTCTATACAGAGCTGGGGAATCAATAGCCACATCAGGACCATGTCATGTGTCTTCTTCCCAAGACAGCGATTTCATACAATGAGCCTATTTGTTCTTCATTGTCCCAGGGGTATTTCCCATAGAACAAACACACCACAGCATCAACAAATACAAGCACATCCCACATCTTACTCTTACTCCCCCTGACTCTCTGGAGCCTTTGAACATTGCTGGTATCACCTTGCAGATGAATTCTTTATCAATTATCCTCCTTTCAAATAATCGAGAATTATCCTTACTAAACACCATTCTAAATGACCATGAGACCCTACTTCAATCCTCAGTTCTGGGAACGATGGAATTGGACAATGTTCTGCATTCGCCTTCGTCTTCATGAATTCACCAGGGGACCACTCTGTCCCACATGTGCACATTTCTGTCTTGCCTGGCTTGGTGCCAGGCTCGTGTAGACACTGCGTGTCTATCAGCTCACACTGGGTAACTTCTCTGGAACAGACTCTGACAAGTTCATGGACTGCCTCACTTAACCAAGGACACGTATCTTGCAAAACAGGACCCTGAGGACTTGGAGGCTCATCTGACATCACATCTGAGGTTACTATAAAGGTTTAAGGAGTCCGGAACTACCACCCTGGGGCGGAGGATTCCTTTTTCTGTACCAAGCTAGGATGAGAAGGCTTTTTTTCTTTCTCTAATTAAGTAACCTAGTTAGGTGACTTTTAGCCTAACTGTAAACTAAATTAAAATAACTTAAAGTGAATATGATAAATATAGCAATATTTTTAGTTTTTAAGTATGTGAGAAAGGATAACAGACGATGCAAAGCATTAAGTTCTACAAGGAGATTCTAGAAATTATTCTCTGAGTGTGACCTTCTCCGTTAGCTCTGTCCATACTCTCTTCCCAAGAACAGACAGTAGCCGGCAGTAGGTCCCATACACAGGGAAACTTGGTACTCAGCAGAAATGTATGCCAGCTTAGTGGGGTAAGGAAGGACTGACCACCCACCGAATGGTCCTAGGACAATTTGGCAAAAATTAAAATCACATCCCTACTTCCTACCATGTACAAAATTTTATCGAAGGAAGTCGGAATAACTTGGTCTGAAAAATAAAAACCTTTAAAACAAAAGACAAGAAATCTATATTTAAGACACTGAAGTATTAACACAATTATATTTTTTAAAAAGATTCACTTGAAAATCAGAGTTACAGAGATCTTCTATCCACTGGTTCACTTGCTAAATGGCCACAGCAGCAGGGCTGCTGCAGGAGCCTAGAATCCATGTGGATCTCTGACATGTCTGACAGGGGGTCACACAGCTGGGACATCATCTGCTGTTTTCCCAGGGTCAGAGGTCGAGCAGCCAGGACTCAAACTGGCACATCTATTGTGGTGTCGCCATTGCAGGCAGTGACTGAACCTGCTGTATCAGCCCTGTGAAAGATTTCTTAACAAGATTGGTTTACAAGCACAATTTAAAAAAAAATAAAAAGGCACTCATAAATCTGACCTCCAAATTTTAAACTTCTGGGTACAAAAGACAGCACAAGTAAAAACAAGCTCCAGAGTTTGGGGAAATAAATTTACAACTCACAAAAAGATCAGAAGCTGGCCAGCCAGAATAAATTCTTGAAAAGCAACAACAAAAAGACTAACAACACAAAAGAAAAGTGGATAATGACTTACAAAGGGAAACTCCCACATAATGAAACACGAGCCGCCAAATTAATGGGAGGTAGGGAAGAGTACTCAGCCTCGTGAAGACAGGAAAACGTGATGGGCATCAGCAAACTGAAAAAATCCCAACAGTACTGAATGTGTAGGAGTACTGAGGTTAAAAGGGAATTCTCATTATGCAAGTGGTGTAAATACTGAAGAACAGCCGTTGGCATGCAGGGTAAGCGGCTGCTTGCTGCAACATATCACACACTAGAGTGCTTGTTCCAATTCCAGCTTCTGGTGCAGCTTTCTGCTGCTGTGCCTAGGACTACAGGAGATGACAACTCGAGTGATGTGGCTCCTGCACCCACACAGAAGACCTGGATGGAGATCCTGATGCTCAGCTTCCATGTGGCCCAATCCTGGGTGTTATGGCCATCT